GCGCTAATCAGTGTAAGACCTCAGCCCTCTTCCCCATCGTACAGCAAGTGGAGAGTCGGTCTGCGGCATCCATCTCCTTTGGTGGGTTCCCACGCCGAGGCAGGCTTTTTTATTTGAGAACCGACGCCAAGAGACGGGGCTAATTGCACGGCACTTGAGTCATGGGGGATCCGTGTTTCCAGAGCCGCAGGAGGTCTGAACCAGCTTCTCGGGCTGTGCTGGTTCCCGGCGAGCACTGGGCTTTCCCACGGGCATGCGGTCTTCCTGAGAACAGCCAGCAAGCTCAGGGCCCAGGCAGCCGGAACCGTGGGGTCTCCACCCCTGATCCCCGCTTCAGGTCTGTTGCACGGGACACCAGTGACTCCCTCAGGGACGTCTGGAGTGCTGGTCCTGCCCGGCCACCAGTTGCAGAAAGTGCTGGGAGCAAGCAGCCGGTTTGCCAGCTTTCCACTGGGGCGCAGAGGACTGTGGGCCCTTCCTCCTCACACACTGACGACGGGACAATGCCTAGTGCCGGGAAGACAGCATCCTCGGTACCGGCAGGCCAGTCCGCAGCGTCCCACTGAACTCGAGGCCGCTGGGCCGTGGGTTTTCCCGAAGAACTGACCACTCCACAGGGAGATCGTCTCTTGGAGGTCACCTCAGTGAACCCCTTCCCCTCCGGGGCCAGCCCCCCCCCCCGAAATCACCCTCCCAGCCTGGGCCTGGCTTCTCTGCGTCTCTGCCTCACCCCCGAAGGCACCCAGGCTGATGGAGTCCTTCCATAGCCCACCTTCCATCCGAGGCCAACTGTGGCTTTAAAATGCAAAGGAACTGAGATCACACAATAATAACCAAACAGACATTGGAGCTCTGGGCTCAGGGTGTGAGACGGGAGCCCCAGCCCGAGTCAGGGTGCTTCTCAGGATGTCGTGGTGTCCGCTGGACCAGTCAGCGTCCCCTGCAGGGTGTCTGGGGGCCTGTGGAGCCTGTACTGCACATGCTCTGACTGTGCCTGCTGGGTGGCCACCAGCTCAACAGCAGCCACGTAGCTCACTGGGTCCCCAAGGAAATCACCCTGAAATTAGTGCACTTCGCCACGGCAACACGGCGAGGTGACAGCTTGACATGTCCGAGGCTTCTCAGGTTGAGCCTGCCTGCCTTATCTGATTGAATGCGTTTTGGAGTTTGAATGTCAGTGTTTCGCATGCAGCTGACCCTCCCTCCCCAGTGGAGCCGGTGGGGCGGGGGCGGGCGCTGCCCCATGGAGTCAGGTGAGGCGATACTGCCACTTACTCTCTGACTTGGGGCGCGTTTTGTCAGGTAAAGCGGAGAACTGCCACGAGGCACCTGTGAAACAGGACGTGAAAAGCCTGGCGCAGCTTTGCACACAGCGGGTGCTCAGTACCTGCTTCCTCCTTTCCTGCCCGTCCTCCGATCGGGAGACAAACCACACAGTGGGGGACACGGGGGAGGTAGGTGTAAGAATCAGCTGTGATGAAGGGAAACTCTGGGACCTAAGGAAGCCTCTGGGAGCCTCCCGGGGGCGCCCCTGAGAGGGAGCACCCACGCGAGGACCAGAGGGGTCCCGGGGCGGCCAGGCTGGGGTTGCTGGGCCAGCAAAAGGCCGCCCTTCGGGGTACAGCTGGGGAAGCAGGAGCTCAGCAGCTGTGTGTGCTTGTGTGTGAGCACACGTGTGTGCACATGTTTGTGCGCACGTGTGTTCGTGCCCAGTGGGAGGCAGGAGGCCTTTGGGGCTTGTGGGCCTCGTGGGGGCTGCACAGGGGCTCCGGATGTCTCCAGTCGAGGGCTGGTCGCCACAGGGATACCTGGCAGGCTCCGCAGGGTGTCCTCACACTCCAGGCAGAGCCCCTGCTCCCCTCCCTCCGTCAAGCTGGCACTGGAAATTTCCAGAAGCCCCTTCTCCCTACAGTGTCCCTCTAGTACCCTCTACTGAGTAAAGCTTAACCCTGCTCACTTTAAAAGAGAGGAAAGGAGTTAGTGCTTATTGTAGAGCGTCTGTGGAAGAGCGCAGGTGGAGCCAGGAGACGATCACCTGGTTGTTGACCCAGACCCACATCCCAGGTCTGTGAGGGGAGGAGCCGGTTTCGGGGGGGCCTGTGTGGGGAGACTGCTGGGGAGCAGGCCTTCCTTCCGGACTGGGGGCTCTCTCTCTCGGGGAGCAAGGCCGGCTCGGCCCCTGGGGACGCCCACACTTGGACCCGGGAGGCGGGAAGAGTGGAGCGAGGTGAGAGTCGGACCCGAGAAAGGATCTGGGAGAAGCGGGCTCCTGGCCATGTTTTGGTTGCACAGTTTTCGTTTTTGTCATTTTAATTTCCTGTATTATTTTTGTGCTGCTGTAACAAAGTACCACAAACCTAGGGGCCGAAAACAGCACCAGTCTATTTCACGTTCTGGAGGCCGGGCGTCCAAAGTCAGCGCCACCGTGCTGACGCCCAGGTGTCGGCGAGGCGCCTCCTCACGAGGCGCCAAGAGGAGCAGCAGCTGGGCCCCCGCCTTTTTCGGCATCTCCCCCCGCACCTGCGTTCGCCGCTCTGCCCAGTCCAGGCAGGAAGATCTCCTTGTCCCCAGAGCCTTAATTCAATCACCTGGCACCGGCGATAGGAATAAAGGGACATTTTAGTCTTTGGTTCACCACTTACATGAAGGGAGGAAGGGGAAGAGCTGGAAGCAGCCTGTGGAGACCGGCTAGAAATTTCATTTTACCATGAGCTCAGCACAAGTGACAGAAAACAGCCTCCGAAGGCCAAGCCCGTCTGGTCTGGATCCGAGGGGACAGTTCAGGACTGGGAGGTATTCCCACCTCGCAGGCCGGGCGCGTCTGAGGGCCGACCTCAGGGCCGCGTCCACTGCGGGGAGACCTGACTCCCCACGGTGAGCACCTTTCCACTGAGGCCCCCTCTGTGCTCAGCACCATGCTGGGCCCGGAGACACAAGAAATCTCAAAGTCCACACACAGACCTTCGATATTTTTTAAAGAACGTGGGCTATAGACTCACAGAACGGGGTACCGATCGTTCATTTCAAATGATGCCGGAGTCGCGTATGCACTGGCACCGAAGGAGTTTACAGTACAGCATTAAATAACGAAAAGTAAATGCAGAGCAGTACGGGTAGTTGGGCACCATCCGAACTCAAAAGAGTGCATGTTAGAAAGTTAACATTAATTATCACCAGCTGTTTTTTCCTGCAAATTCGTATTATTTTTCCATAATGAACATATATTGTTTGTATCATTTTTAAGTTCTTTAGCACCACAGATTTCATTATAAGGAGTAATTAACGGGAGGTCATCGCTTTGAAACACTGTAGATTGTCTAGTAGTGAAACCTGCCTTTCTCGGTTAGTTTTTTGAAAACAGTTAATATTAGAAACGGGTGGAGGGACAGCAGCAGTTACCCATGAGTGCCACTAGATGGAGCCAAAGCAGCTCCTACAACTTAGCAGCAAAAACTCAGTTGCGCTTACTCCAGAGAAACAACTTCATGAGATTCCAAATATTTAAGATTCTCTGGCCAGAATAAGTGTTTTGTTAATGATGCTCTGGAAATTATTTTTTTACTTTTCAAAATTATAGTCAAAGATGCCCGTGTTTGCTTTAATGGTGCTGTTTGGACTTTTGTTATAGTATCACCAGATACCCCGGCACAAAAACTCAGAGCTCTGCAGGTCAGAACTCCCCCGCTCCTGAGAGGTGACGGATGGCTCTTTAACTCTTCACCTTGACTTTCCCGTTGACTCTAGGTTGCTAGTAGACAGTGTCGAGATCCAGGGTAGGTGGCCGTTAATGACGAAGATCACTCCTCAGAGCAGCTGGTTCCCAATGTGGGCGGGAGATGAGCTCCCCTTCTCCCACTCTTTCCTGACGCCCTCTGTCCCCAGGGAGGCGGGCTTCCTGCAGCTTCGCCCACCTTGGCCTTGGCCCTGGCAAGCCGGGTCCCAGGGGTGCATCTGGTTCCTGGAGTCTGCACTGCCGGCTTCAGCAAGAAGCTCCTTGCACACAGTTCTCTCCGGAAAGCCCGAGCTGGGCAACGGTGCGGGGGTTCCTCGGCGCACACCCTCCCTGCCGCTCACCTCCGCAGGGGGCAGGCTCACTCCAGAGAAAAGGACTTGCAAGAGAGGTTTTCACCGGTGGATGCAAAGCAGCAAGGGAGCTCCAGGGGCTCACCTGCTGGGAAACACAACTGGACTGGGTCGGTTTGGGGGTCAGGGAAGGCCTGTAGGGCACACAGAGGGCAAGTCCGTCCTCGTCCTCTTCTGGGGGGGCCCGTTGGCACTTTACCTGTGGGGAGGAACTGGTCAGACACGCGCGTTGCTCCCACAGCTGTTCATGCGGGTCATTTCCACGGGCGTCCCCCTCCCTCCTCGGCTCTGAAAGGACAGCTCTGCCTCTGGGGGCGTCTCTGCCCCCTTCGGGCTGCAATGTCCCTGGCCTGAGGCAGAAAGGAGAAATTACCCTCATTCTGATAAGTTAGAAATCTGCACGTGTACCCAGCCGACACCTCAGCATTTGAGTATGTATATTCATGTGTAAAATATACACTCATATTTGAATATATGTTTGTGTGCTCTGAAGACTACTGTTGGTCTGTACAATGACGGTACAAAAAGGTGCGGAATGCGGCAGGAGGAGTGTCCTAAACCAAACTCACCGTTAGACACGTAGCCTCTTCTGTCCCAGAGGTCAGCCCTGGAGACGGGGTCGAGCAGATTTCAGCCCCATGCAATGAGCGAGCATCTCAACCCAGCAGGCGAGTCACCCACGGAAAGTGGGCGTAAACTGGAGGACGGTTCGTAAGGAGCCTTCACTTACCAAGTTCACGTTGTTTTCAAGTAACCGCAGCGGAGGAACAGCCAGGCTCCAGGCTTCCTCAGCTTCGCACTGGTGAAACGGGATACCCCGAAACCAAGGTTCTGGGGTGATGTCATCCCCACCCCCAGGGAACATGATCCCAGGACAGGACATCCTGCTAAAAGTGCCTCTTGTTTTCTCCCCGCAGCTGGACCACTACCCTTCCGTGAGCTACCACCTGCCGAGCTCGTCTGACACGCTGTTCAACTCCCCCAAGGCGCTCTTCCTGGGGAAAGTCATAGGTAAGAACCCGGGGCAGGTCGCTCGCGCCCTGCCCTCCACAGCGGCCCGTTCACCCCGGAACCGGCTGCGGCTGGCAGGGGGCGCATCCGAGCCACAACGGCGTCGGAAGCGGTGTTGGTATTTCATGTGTGGCGTGAACTAAATCTCAAATGAGGACTGGCACCTGCGCCCAGCGTCTTTGGGTGGAAATGGCTCATTGGTTCATTGAAGACCTCTGCGTCCTGAACACTCAGGTTAACTTTGTCTTACTCTACGCACATCCGCCGATCCTTTCTCCCCGTCCCTCCTGAGAACAGCTCGCCTGACGCTATTTGCAGATCAGAAGGCCGGTAGGAATCGGGAAGTCAGGACAGAACAGCCCCCTGGTGTGTGATTGTGGTTTTATGAGTCATCCTCGCCCTTTCCTTTACGGGCAGTCAGTGCGATCTAGACTGAAATATTGATATGATCGATGAAGTGGCTTTAATGATTAAGGTAGAGCCAATGACCGTTTTTCTTTTTTGTACTATGAGACGTGTATCGTGAACTGACAATGGAAACATGAGGACGGTGGACAAGGTGCTGGCCAGGGAGGGGGCGGCTCTGTGTGCAGCAGACAGGGAACAGCAGACCCAGGCTGCAGCGAGAGTAACGAGAACGTGCACTCCTGTAGGGCTGACTGCAGGCCAGGCTCCACCTTGCACACTTTCAGTGTGTGAATTCCCTTAATGTCCGTAGCAATTCCTGGAGATAACCAAGATCGTTACCTCCAGTTCACAGACGGCAGAACCGAGACACAGTGAGGTTAGAAAACTTGCCCAAGGCCTTCCACTTAATAGGTGGAACCCAAACTTGAACCCAGGCAGTCGGTGCCTCTGTCTGTGCTCCTCACTGCTGCGCTGTCATCTCTCTGATGGTTGAGTTAGAAATGAAAACAGAAGCAGAAAAAGAAGGACCTTGGCAGAGGAGGTTGACCAGTTGAGGGTAAGCCCTGTGTTTCATGCCAGAGAGAGGCCAAGAGCAAAGAGTTTTCCTGGGCTTGGAACCAGGGACACCAGGCAAAACAGCAGGCAGGCAGAGCTGGACATGAGGCCGTGGAGGACGGGAGGGACTCGGGGTGGGCCGTGTGGGGAGGGTCGGTAGCTGAGTCAGAGGGTGGAAGCAGAAAAGGAACCCGGGGTGAACCTCACTGACCACCTGCCGGGCTCCAGGCACCGTGCTAAACATTTCACACGTGTGAGGGAGGAAACCAAATGTCACAACAGTCCGATGAAGCAAGACCTGCGATTATTGTCCTCAGCTGACAGATGAGGAGACAAGCTGAGAGAGGTCAAGGCCACAGTTACTCAAGTACTATGTTGCGAAGTTGCGAGTTCTGAAGCTAGGTCTCTGTGACGGGCTAGGTCTCTGTGACGGGAGTCTACGGTCTTAAACCAAAAGAGCTGGTTTTTAAGGGTCAGGTTCCCAAAGGGCTGCAGCTTAAAGTCAAGTGATGTCATTAATTAGCACCAGGAAGTGGCCGTTCAGGGCGGAAGAGGCCTGGCTTCACCAGAACTACAGCCTGAGGCCCTGGCGAGTGCCCACGTGCTGCTGCCATATGCATCCCCCCCCCCGAGTTCAGCCAAGGATTCTTGCAAACGTGAAGGTCATTTGGTGGCCGTAACAACCCATCCAGCTCTACACTGTGATGCTGGGAGATTCATGACGGTGTTTCCCCGTGACTCCCTAGAGTGGCACCCACCGCGAACGTACCTGAAACAGTGGACTGTTGCATCATGGAGGTCACAGGGTCAAGGCCGACTGGGGGACAGCAGCGCTGGGGGACTGCTGGGTGCCCTCACCGTCCGTGGCACCCTCTGGTTCATCAGTGTGTCAGAGCGTGGGATGGAATTCACGCTTCGGCAACAGTACAACATGCGATGAGGCCTGGACTGTCACAGAAAGGGAGGGAAGCTAGAGGGCTCCACCGAGGGGGCCGGTGCCGAGGGGGAGGCTGCGGGGGCTGGGGCAGACAGGGCGCGCCCCGGGGGGTCTGCCCGCGCACGGACCTCGCGGTCCGGGTTCTCTAAGCGGGTGTCTGGTCATCGCACAGCGGAAAGAATGTGGGCTTTGGAGTCCGGCAGAGCAGTGTCTGGGCTGCTGTGGCCGAGTGCCACCCCCGGGGGCTCAGAGAGCAGAAGGTGACTGCCCGCGGCCTGGAGGCTGGGACGCCACGGTCAAGGGCCCTGGACCTGGTGTCCGGTGGGGACCTGCTTCCTGGTTCGCAGACAGCGGTCTTCTCATTGCACGTCCATATGGGGCGGGGGGCGAGCTCACTCACCTCCTCAGGACACTGATTTCACTCACCAGAGCTCCACCCTCGTGATCGAATCACCCCCCACAGCCCCACGTCCAGTGCCGTCCCACCAGGGGTTCGGATTTCAACCTGTGGGTTTGGGGGAGGCACAGACATGCAGACCAGCCCGGCCGGCGATACTTGAGCCAGGCTCTGCCTCCCGTTGGCACGGAACCCTGGGCGCGTCACCCGAACCTCCCGGAGCCTGGTTCTCTGAGGGCCCCGACGCCTGCTCGCGGCTTGTTCTCTCTCTGAGGAGGAGTGCCGCTTTCTTCATTTTAAAGTAGTCCATCTGCAGACTCACTTAGAATGTGTGCTGTGGAGCTTGGCAGACAGTAAGTGCTCGGAAACTATTTGGGGACCCACGCGTTATTCCTTCAGTAGCCCGCTGATGACATCTTAGCAAGTGCCCGGCGCCACGTCCAGTGCGTAAATGAAGAGCACGACGAGCATGTTGTGATGCCGGCTCTGAGCCAGGCCTGGTGGTTTGCGTGGTGAGCGAAGCATCCCTACAACCCTCACAGCGCTGCCCCGCACCACCGCCACCCTCGCTGCACGGAAGCCGGCCCGAGACTCGGAGGGCTGACGCTGTTCTCCCGAGGCGGCACTCTCGGCCCTGGGGGCCACGTGGGTCTCCGTTGGGGGTGGGGCTGTCCTGTCCACTGTAGGATGTTTGGCAGCATCCATGGCCCGTACCCACTAGACACAAGTAGCCTCCCCCCAGGTTGTGACGACCAGAACATCTCCAACCGCTGCCAGACGTTCCCCAGGGGCCGGGCGCCAGCACCCCCTGCAGGGCATCGTCGGTGGAGCTGGGATTCGGAAGGAGAGACCTGGGGTACCAAGAGCCAGGCCCTGCTTCCTGGTAACTCCGTCTCTTCCAGAACCACGGAGAAGCTAGGGAGAGATCTGCCGCCCTGGAGGCAGATTCAGCTCCTGCAGTCCGAGTGGGGGCCGCGGAGGTCCCGCGGGTGCCGGGGGGGCCACCCGCTCCAGCCCGTGTTTCTTCAGACTGGATCAGGCAGCAGGCACAGGGCCAGTGAGGAGTGCTTTTACGTTCCCCTTTGAGCGTGAGCTACACGTCAGCGGGAAACAATGCATACGCATTCGCCAGCTCTGTGACCGCTGGTCTGTGAAGACGGACCGAACCCCAAACAGCTGTCGCGGTGCTCCGCCGAGCTCGGCCACCCCCAGGGACCGACGCGCCCATGTTGTCGCCCAGCCGGGCCAGCAGCTGATCAGACACTGATCTCGGGAAAGGAGAGGAGGTGGATCTAAATAAAATCTAAATAAATAATATGCCTTCACATGAGCTCTTTGATGAGCACGGCTTGAAAAAGGACACATGAAAAGGATGGGAGAAAAGACACCATGTCAAGGACAAGCCCGATCTTTCTAAAGGGAATAAAGGGAATTTATTCTATAAAGAAAAATGTGATCACTGTCAACAGGCATCAGAGTTTTAGATGGGTCGTTGCACATCTGAGTCCACAAGGAGAACGTCAGGGCCGCTGGCAAGGAGCAGAGCCTCGCCGAGGAGAAGTCTCCCCAGACCTGCGTGTGTCTGTTTGTTTAAATCGTTCACTAGCTGAGTGATGCTGCTGACTGTATGTGTATCATTTTCAGCAGTAGATTTCATAGGCTCCCAAGAAATCTTTAAGTCAAGGAAGAGAAGCATAATAGGCCTGACACAGGGTCTTCTGTTTGCTGAAGGGTTTTGTTTTTCCCCAGCATCCCCCGCCCCACGCCTTGGTTAAAGACACAAATAGCATGTTTATTATGTTTGCACATGACACAGAGCTGAGAGGGGCCGTTTCATAAGCTGGGTGGTGGAAAGCAGCTCAAAGGCATCCTGACAGGCAGGAGAGAGAGGAGAGAAACAGTGAGGCGAAATGTAATAGAGAGGAACTTCATTCCTGCCCTTAGCCTCCCCGATAAATATATCGCGTAGGTAGAAGATGGAACCCCCAGGGGGCCGGGGGTTCGATGCAGAGTTTGAGGAGCCGGCATCTACTTTCAGTAAATACGGCACCGAGCTGCGATCACAGGAGAACCGTGTCCACACGAGAACCGTGTCCAGGGCAGGGATGCGCCTAGACCTCGGCCGGGATGCTGTGGCCCAGCCCAGAACCAACGTTTTGAGATGGATGTTAATCTTCGGAGGAGAAGACTAGGTAGGCGAGAACCCATACGGGATAGTGATCCCCCAAAAGATGGAATGTGTGAGAAGAGAATCCATTCTCAATCTTTGACGGCTGCTGCAGGAAGGTGGGACCCGGCCCGAAGGAGACAGTGAGAGGGGGTCTCAGTTCCCCGTGAGCAGAGCCTCCGCCCCCCCACCCCCAGAGCTCTCAGAAGACGGCCGGGGCTCCCCAGGGTGGAGCACGCTCCGCAGAGGCCAGCTGGAGACACGTCCAGGACTTGGAGCGGTTTTCTGGATTGGCGATACCAGAGGGGACAAAGCCTTGAAACTCTGATTCGGAAACATTTATGATGGGAGTAGTTTTCTGTTTTTAAATGTGAAAGATGCAGCATTGAAGTGGAGAAGGTTCTGTTCTGTGTGGAAACTAAAGGGGCGATTACATGTGGGCTTTCTCGACCTCGTGGACCACTATGGACGAGTGTAGACACAAGCGCAGAAGGGCAGTACACGCTTCCCGTCACATCACCGCGTGTCCGGGGCCACTCAGCGGGGAGCTTCCGTGTTCAGGTTGCAGTATTTGTGTCCTTCATCGTTGTAGAAAGTTACACCCGAGCCCTCTTTTTATTGGTTTCTTCAAGCTGTTTGTAGCGTTGTTGCGTCTCATAACAATATAACATCGTAATGAAGGAGATCTGTTCCGTCATAAAAAGGCGTCGACTCCTCCGTGTCCACGTGAGACGCTGGGCTTGGGGGGACGTTGAACACGGACTCGTGCAGAGTCACCGCTGCTTCACAGACCGGCGCTGTCCGTCTGTGGCAGCGTCTGGGGCAGCAGAACCGGAGGGGGACGTCTACCTGTTTGAATTTAGTGCAGTTTGCAATCAGCCCTGGCCAGTGGCTCAGGTGGTTGGAGCGTCATTCATACACCAAAAGGTTGCAGGTTCGATTCCCAGTCAGGGCACGTACCTAGATTGTGAGTTGGATCCCTGGTCAGGGCACATATGGGAGGCAGCCAGTCAATATCTCTCTCTCTTTCTCTTTCTATCTTTCAAATCAGTAAACGTGTTCTTGGGTAAAGATAAAAAATAAAAACTTAAGTATATATAAATATATGTAGTTTATAATTACTATTGGTCCCACACCCTCATATTTTCCAAACCACCATTGTCAAAGCGACTCTGATAGAAGACGTGCGTCTCGGTAGCCGGCATGTGATGGGCGTCATGATCCAAAATGTGGGCGCCTGTCTTACGATCTGTTGATGAGAAATCCATCCGGGGCTCTCCGAAACCTCCTGGAACTCTGACCAAGGCCCCCCAGCAGGGACCACACGCTCGGAGCTTCACTCACTGCCGAGGCGGCCCAGGCGGAGGGCATCGCATCGCCCGCCAAGACGTCAGGAGTAGAAAAGACACGTGCACGGCCCCGGGCCAGCACATTTCGTAGCTGATGCACGAACCTCTGGGGTCCTTCTGTCCCTTTGGTGTGGTGACAGGCAAACCTCAGGACAGCAGCTGTTCCGTCAGCAGGGTCCATCTGTGACCGTCCTGAATGGGGAGCCCTGTGGACTCCGGACGAGACTCCAGCACAGGAAGGACGAGGCCTGTGTGTTTCTGAGCTGCTGGGGCTGTGGGGCCATTTGTTACTGTGGCACAGCCTGGCCTGGCTGGCAGGCGGGACTGCGGCTGTCACTCATGGGTCTGCATCCGTATTCTGTTACTTACAAACTGTGTGACCTGGGCCAGTCACCTGGTGTCTGGAGTGTTTTGTGTCCTCGTGTGTAAAAGCGATAGTGATGGTCCCTGCCTTGCAGGACTCGGCAGATGCCACGTGGAACACGCAGCCCAGGTCTGCCACCTAGTGTGTGCGGGACTGCGGCACGGTGTCCGCTCAGTCCTAACTGAACAGCAGGGCAGTCTTCCCTGGCCACCTGCCCGGCGTGGTGTGCAGGACACGCACAGCTGCTGCCTTTAGAGGCGTGTGTTCCCGCCGGAAGCCAGGAGAAGGTGGTGGAAAGGCAGCTCGGAGCGGGCGGGTACGCGGCTGGGGGTGTGGGAGGTGGTGGTGCCAGGCTCTTCGGGAGCAGGACAGAGGGCCCGGGCCCAGTGCAGGGACGAGGACGGGCATGCCACGGGAAGTGACACAGACGCCGAGACCCAGGGGTGCCCTAGGACCCTCGGGCAAGGCCACGGCGTGGAGTGGGGGGCAGGGAGCGGGGGGATTTCTCGGTTCTCTGTTGCTACTCAGCAATCCCCCCAGCACTCGGTGGCTTCAGCAACATTAAGTCACACAATTCTGTGGCTTGACTGGATGGCACTTCTGCTTTGTGTGTCTCAGCTGGGGCATCGGGATGACTAATGGATGGTCCGAAGTGGCCTCAGCCTCGGGGTTGCCCAGGAGTTAGGCTGAGACTGTCAGCCAGGAGCCTCAGTTTCCCCTCAGGGGCTGCACACCATGGCAGCGGGGCCCTAAGGAGAATCGTCCCAAAAAGCAGAGGTGCAAGCTGGAGCCCTCAGAGGCCCGGCCCCAGAAGTGGCACCCAGCCCTCCAGCCACACACTGAGGGCCCGGAGCTGCTCCGGCCCCCGTTCCAGGAGACAGGGAGCAGCCTCTGGCCTTCCATGGCTGAGCGCAAGGTCACAGCGACAGGAGCAGGTGGAGCGAGGGGGTGTCGTCATCACCTCCGGAAACACGAGGGGCGATGCGGGAGACTCGGACCCAGAGCCAGTTTCACCCGGGCGGTTGCAGCCAGGGCACGTGACCACGAAGCAGCAGGACACAGGTCCAGACGTCCCTCTGGGCCCAGGACAGTCCCAGTGTCCTTCTGCCAGGACAAGAGCGGTTGGCCAGCAGTGCCCACTTCACTCTAGAACCATGACCCCATGCGCAGTGAGTGGCAAATGGCACGATCACCTGTCTTCTTTGGGGTCTTCTCCCAAGGGGAGCCCTGAGGTCAGGCCTGCAGCCCAGGTCCCGGGAAAGGAGAAGCCTCTGGGGGGTGGGAGGGGGGAGGCCTGGAGGTGAGATGAGGTGTGGGGGGCAGGGGGGAGGGTTTGTGCGTGCGCTGATGCAGGGAGAGGTCCCAGGAAGTGTCAGGAGGGGAGTGAACCAGGGAGAGGAACCAGGCGTTACCGACCACCAGCCCTGCGGGTAGTCGGAGGGCAGAGCCTAGGGGGGACTGTGGGGGCCAGCGCAGGGCGGCCTCCCGTGGTGGGGGGGTGCCAGAGGCCACACCTCCTGCCCCCAGAGTCTTAGCTCCCAGCAGTTGGCTCACCCCAGTGTCCCCCACAACCTGCCGCCCAGGCCAGAAGAAAGCACAGACCACAGGGGCCCACACGCCGGGGTTTGGAGAGTCGTATGGCATCTGCCATATTATAGGATGTGTCTACTGGGTTGGCCAAGAAGTCTGTTACGTTCTTTCTGTACGATGGCCCCAGTGGTGCTTAGTGTCTTTGACGTCATTCACAACAGTTTTGTTAGAGTGTGTTGTGACAGCCGTCATATCAGCCGTGCATTTAGAAAACTTATCAGAATTGATGAATTTTTGTGCATCCATTTTAACATTGAAGGTGGAAGAAAATACGCAATTTTTTGGTGTATTCTGCTTTTTACTATTTCAAGAAATGTAAAAATACAACTGCAATGCAAAAAAGAAAAAAGATTTATGCTGTGTGTGGAGAGGGTGCTGTGACTGATCGAACATGCAAAGGTAGAAGCCAGAGAACTTACACATGTGGCCCATGGACATGAACTAAGGAGGGAACAGGGGTACTGGACAGAGAGGGACAAAAGGGGGAATTTGGGACAACTGTAATAGCATAATTAATAACATGTACTTTTATAAAAACTGGTTTGCAAAATTGTTGGCACTGTTGACACTTTAGCCAAATAATTCTTCACTGTGGGGCTGTCTTATGCATTGGAAGATGTTTAGCAGCACCCTGGCCCCTACCCACTAGAAGCCAGTAGCGGAAGACAACCAACATGCTCAAAATATCCAAGTCAATAAAGTAATTGGTGAAATTGAAAAATGCCTTTTATTTAATGGAAAAAAACCATAATGGACTCTGGCCAATGCAAGACAAGTCATGCTGTGGTTTTTATGTTACCCCAGGGTTGAAAGGTGTCATTAAAGCGATTGTTTTTTTAGATGAGGAGAGTCACCTGATTGGCCGCCACGTTGCACGGATTGCCCCTCCCGCAGAGTGGCAGACACACATGGTGTGCGGGAGGGGCTGCAGGGGACCGAGCTGGCGGTTGCCGTGCTGCACGCAGCCCCGTACACGAGCAGAGGAGTCGCTGTCTCCACCTGCCTGCAACGATGCCCGACGTCCCCCGTGGGTGGCAAGGGCAGGTGAACAAACGTGCGGGCCGGCTGACCGCTGAGTCGACGCGGTCGTTCCATCAGTCACCTCTGGTCGTGCTCTGTCCGTCTGAAATAAGTGTTTGGTCTCTCAGGTGGCCGTCCCGGACCTCTGCCTCCTCCTTTGATAAAATGGGGACAGGAGTGTAGGTTACAGAGGGGAGGGGTAGGGGGAGGCTGCAGCTTCGGGGTTCTTTTGACATCATCACAGGCAGGGACCTGGACTCACGCTGTCCCTTGGGTTTGCATGACGGCCCGCCAGCCCAGAGTCCTGTGTCCGCCTGGTAACGGGGCGCTCTTCCGGCCTTGGGCGGTAAAATCTGTGGTTGACGAACGAATCCTCCCTCTTTGGCGCAGGCAGTGCTCCAGGGGCACCTGCCGCCTTTGCTTCCTTCTGTCCCCTCAGCTGTCACTGAAGATGGGCCCCTCCCCTCCCCAGGGCAGACGCCAGTGCCCCAAGCAGCCCAGGGGAGATACAGTGGCTTCCTGCCCCCCAAAGAGAGAGGCTTCCTGCCCCCCCGCCCCCCCCACTGAGGCTGGCCTGGCCCCAGTCTGTGCCGCAGCCCACGGGCCAGTCTCCGCCCTGAGCCCCGGAGCTCCTCCTCCTGGGCCCGGCTGAGCTCTTCTCCCCCTCTCTTCCTTCTTCTGCACACAATCCTCTCGGGTTTTGTGTATTTTTTTAAGAAGAGAAAAAAGCTTTGTTTTCACTTCCTATGTCAGGTAGCTATGGACCAAAAGAAAAGAAAGCCATGTAACAAACAGTCCCCAAACTCAGGAGGTTAAAACGACAGGTTTTTCCTCACTAATCTGTGGGTCAGTTCGGGGCTGATGGGCTCTGGTCCCCGTCCTCTTCCTCCTGGGGCCGTAGAGGCAGCAGCCGCGGCACCGAGAGGCAAGGCCGGCGGTGGGAGCGCTTTCCGAGCCTGTGGTCCCGTCATGCCCACCGAGGTGCTGTTGTCCAGAGTAAGCCCCGTGGCCCAACGAAGAGTCAGGAGGGAGGCGGACCCCCCAGGGCGACATGAAAAAGGGGGCGGCAGGGAGCTGGGGACGTGAACACAGTCAGCTACACTCCCCGTCGTCACGGCCCCCACACTGGCCAGGGCCTGGCGTCTGCCCCGTGTCAGCTGGAAGGCTGGGCGCCGTCGCACATCACAGGAAAACTGCAACCCGCCTGGTCCTCGGCGGGTTGAGAGGAGTGAGCAGAGGAGTTAGGGCATCATTAATTCTGTAGAAAGAACAGAGCGCTGAGCTATAGCGGGTGAAGGGCCAGGACAGTGACCAAACCAGGAAAAGTGCCTGCCCCGTGGAGCCTGCGTTCTCGTGGGCAGTAACTCGAGCAGCGATGAATGCTGGGAGGAAAACGGAGGGGGGGGGGGGGCGGTGGTAAGCGAGGGGGTCGGTATGCGGGCACTGCGGGAAAGGAGGGCAGGGAGGTGGGACAGCAGTGCACAGGCTGGGGGCCGAGGGGGGGGCACGCTTGGCTTGTCCAGGGAACAAAGGGCAGGAAAGCCAGCCTGGCAGGAGCAGAGTGGGGACCCCACAGTGGGGTAGGAGATGGGGGGAGGCAGAGGCCTACCCCGCTGCCGACGGCACATGTTGGGGAGTCCACCGGAAGGAGCCCCCCTTTTATCCTGAGTGCAGAGGGAGCGCAGAAGGCCTTGGTCCAGCCGGGACATTAGAAGTGCCCTTCCTGCTGCTGTCGGCCGGCCGTATGAACTGCGACGTCCGGGAGGGAGATGGGGACGGTGGTGGGCAGCTGGGGAGGCATCTGGAGTAGGAAGATGCTGGAGGAAGAGCCCCTCGTCTGTGGTGACAGACTCACGGGGGAGAAACAGGTGTCAGAGGTGATCCTTCACGTTCAGGGCCTGAATGGGTGGGGAAGTGGTCCTGCCATTTCCCGACCCTGGGCGAGAAGTCGTTGGGGGCGGGGGGACATATCAGGACTTCCATGTGGGACGCGTTCCAGACGCTGCGCTGACGCCGGTCCCGTGGTGCATGTCAGCTCTCGAGCGGTTGTCCCTTCTCCCTCCCTGCCCCCCATGCCACCCCCCAGACAGACGGGTGTCTTGGGTTGACATGAACATGGGTCACTGTTACTCAGACACAAGAGAAAAGGCACACTGCTCGATTTCAGAGCGTGGCTCCGCTGCGCAGTCACGCGGGCGGCACCTCCGCGCCACAGACCCCTCCCTGAGTGACGAGAAGGAGCGCACCACCGTGGGAGCACAAGCGACTTGGGCCGATGGGGGCGGGGGACCAAGCCCCCAAAGGGTACGCACCTCGTTTCCATGGACACGACCTGTTTGCAGTGACAGCACTTTAAAAACGGAGGGCAGATCAGTGGTTCCCGAGGTCAGTGCCCGGGCGGGAGGGAGGGGGCCAGAGGGGCCCAGCTGGCTCTGGGTACGAGAGGGCACCGTGCGGACTCTCACGGTGTGGGGGCCGTCCCCGCTCTGGGCCGCGGTGGTGAAGACCCACACCTGCAGGGGGGCAGAGGGTTAAACGCAGGCACCAGCAAGCCCGGAGCCTGAACAGGGTCACTGAGCCATCACCGCCTCCCTGCCCTAACTGTGACCTTGTGTGATAGTTTTGCCTAATGCTTCCTCTGGGGACAGCTGGGCAAAATAAACAGGGGGTCTCTGTATTATTTCTTACAACCGCATGTGATCCGGCGATGACTTCAGTACACATTTCAGTGTTTAGAAGAGTAACCGGAGTAGAAGGTGGCGTGGTCCACGTGGTTCATATGGGGTCCTGCATCGGTCAGTGTCCGCGGGGGCCGTGACCAGGACTGCGTGGCCATGTCCTCGTTCTCTCTGACCCTCCTGCCTCCGCCAGCAGAGCTGGGAAATGTACAGGAATTAAATATTTATTGACAGCTGAGAATTTCATCGTTCTTTTAGGGTTGTTATTGAAAGGAATGATTAATATAGTGCATTTCTAAAAACGGAGATAGAGGAAGACGTGGCGGACTGGACCCTCTGCTGCCACTGAGGGAGAGCGCCCTCTGGTGGACGGCCGCCTCCTAACAGAAGGGGGCGGCAAACCGGATGCCCCACCAACGAGGGCAGGTGGCTCGGTGAAATTTCTGCTCAGGCGCCTTTGGCTTTATGATGGGTAAAGAAGTAGTGAAACACTGATGCGAAAGCACAGTTAAGTGGTCGGTGAGAAGCAATGTGCAAACTAAAGAGAAGCAATCACATTTAATTTCTCATGTCCTAAAGAAAGTTTAACAGAGTCTTAATGTCCAAAATCTTCTCAGGCTGAAAGAGATCTTCTCTTATAGAAGGAATTTTCCCAGTGAGTTGTGGTTTGACGTTGGCATCTCATTCTTTTTTAATTACATTAGTAACTTTCATCGTTGGAAGCCTGATGGGATTTTATCATTATCATTACTTCCATAGACTCATGGGAAGCCCTGAGGAATAATTTCCTTAAACCACATCCTCTCACGGCCGAGGCAGACGGAGCCCACGGGGGTTTAGTGACTGGCCCAGGGCCACAGAGCAGGTTGCTCGATGCCCTTTCCAAAGTGACATGCTGGCAACGTCACCATAGTCTTCACTGGCCACCCAAGCAGGTCTTTGACAAGCACAAGTAATAAGTACAGCATTAGGCTCTGCACATCCAGGCAAGACAGCTGTAAAAGCAAGTCTTCCCACCAAGTTTCAGCGGGAAAAGAAGACTCTATGGCCTGAAGGCGGAGAACGCAGCTGCCCGCCTGCTGCGGGAGCCTCCGCAGGCTTCCTGCGTGTCCGAGCTGCCGCTTCCTCAGCTCTGAAATGTGGGTGATGACAGTAACAACGGCCCAGGCCTGGGGAAGGTTAACGATGGTGCCTGCACGTGCTGAGTGCTCAGCGCCGCCCTCCTGGGCAGGGTGGTACCATCTGATCTTTGACTTGCTCTGCAAAGTAGAGCAGCAGGTCCCTCTGGGGTCACCCAGGTGGAGTGGGATCGTCTCCTCCCGGGGCTGCGACATCCCACGGTGCACAGAGGTCGGCTGCCTCTCAACACCGCTGCTTTTTAGGGCCCAGGGTGGGAGAACGTGGCGTGTTCGGGGGACGGGGGTCTGGGCCACAAAGATGCTTTGCATGGTCTTGCTCATGGGCTGGACTTTAAATGCTGGAGAAGTTGAAGGCTCACACGTCCATTGGAATGAAAGCAAGCCAAGTCACCCTTCATTCAAGTACTCCGAAGGACGAGACAAAAAGGCACGGTGGAAGGTGGACAGGAGACACAGATTTTCGTCCGTCAGTCGGTGCTGGGGGTCCCTCCGCAGCCTCGTGGGGCAGCACACACCTTGCAGACCTTCCCATAGCAGCTGAAGGAAGGATAGAGAAGCCGTGGGAAAATAAGTGTTTCCCGGGAGGAGTCATTCATCTCTTAAAAATCTGCGGAGCGTGAATAATCCTGCTGTAAGGAACGGCGTTAAATGTTTACCGCGGATATTTCATCCGACTGATGTATTTTCTCGCTGCAAGCATGGGGGGGGGGGTCTCTGAATGTGACAACTTCATTTTCTGGAAATCAGACAGATCAACTCTACGGTCTTTTAAATGTAACATTAACAACGATGAAGTGCGCATACTTTGAAAAGTTAATCTTCTAGAAGAAACTTTCTATCATTTTTAATTGACAGTTCACATTACCTCCCCCAGGTCAACCCACAGTCAGACTGCTATTCTGTCTCTAGTGTCCACAAGGAATTAGCATTCAAAGCATAAACTTGGAGGACAAAGCAAAGTCGTGGATCGGAAACGAACCGTAATTCCATTTTCCTTTCTCAGTTAGAGTCAACCTCATTCACAGAGCGCCCTTCAGTGTCATCCATAGTAACTAGACAGATAAATGAAAAACGCAGTCTGTGAGCTGATGAAACTCACCTCACAAGGCACCGTCTATGTAAATCCCCGTCTGAGAGACCAGGGAAGAGGCGCCGAGAGTCTGAGTGACACGCGCCAGGTCACAGAGCGAGGAAATGGCGGGGCCGCAGTCCCGTCTGCCTGTGCGGGTTCCCCGGTTCATTGTCCGAGTCCGTTCTGTGGAAGAGGTGGGACCCTGGGGCGGAGACGCACTGGCGCCCCCATCAGGCCGCTGTCCTCACCCGCTTTCAGCCAGCGACTGTGCCGGGCTGTCTGGGGCCCTGGGGCAGGGACTGCCAGGTGCCCCCACACAGAAGGACCCTCTTCCCAAGCCAGAGCCGAGCTAAGGCAGGAAGTGCGGCGGGGGCAGGGAGGAGGGAGAAGTCCGGGCTGAACACGGATCATTCGCATAGACTAGTTCCCGTCAGCCTGGTTACTTTGGAAACACCAGATTTTTATGGATTTTTTTTTACTGTGAGTCATCTGAATCAAACCCCAAAACGTGAAAAATCTTTCCGTTTTTTAATAGTGAAGTTACGTCATTCATTTAAAATAATATCAAACTAATGGCATTAAAAGGTACGCATGGAGTCACGTTATTAATTTAAAATAAA